TCTGAGTTTTATTTGAAGAAAAATCTTGGTAGACATATAAAATATTGGCTTTTCAATCTTTCCTGTTTTTTGTTTTTTTTTCCCAGTTCAAACTGAACTGCAGTTTTCTGCCAATATTATAAACTTCCCCACAGCTCTCCAGCTGTTACACCTGCATGTCTGCCTCATCCACTAAGTCAGACTGACTGTTGCTTCCCTTGGTGAGAGCTACTTGGAGCCATAAAAAGCCTTAAACGTCCACTAATGTCTGCAGCTGATGAACAGCTCCATTTGGCACCTTTAACCTCCTGTGTTAATTGGGTAATTAGATACAGCCGTAAACGAACCCTTATGGCATTTTGATCCGGCCCAGCTTGAAGGGCAGATACACTTGGCCACGCCGTTGACAGCGGTGCATTCTCCTCCGTTCCAACATCCCCCATCGCACGTCACTGCAACACAGACACACACACAAACACACACACACTGTTCATGAGATAGTTTTACCATACCACAAAAGATTTAAGTTAATTTGGGTATAAACTCCCCAAAGCACCCAGGAGATTCTTCACTACACACCAAAGTGCTTAAAATACATTGCATTTCAGTCTAACTCTTAAGGGTCATATGTCCCATTAATAAATATTGGTTTATAAAATAACTTTGTAATTGTTTTATTCTTATATTTTCTGTTGGACTGCATAGACTTATGCATTCATAAACTTAATAAAACACATTTAAAAATCGAATCCATAAAATGTTTTAAGAACTTAGACAAACAAATGAGGCAGTACGTGAGCAACAGCTGAATACTGTGTGTAGTATTCTATCTGAATAATAGTAAACTGAATACAGATGAATAGAGGCGGAAAATACACCAAAAGCAGAGAATAACTGTCATCATGACACGCACACACGTGTTAATACACTTAATGTATTAGAACTGTCCCGCTCCCATGAACTCGTTTACCTTTGTGACAATATCTTCCTCCAAATCCAGGAGGACATCTGCATTTTCCAGGGCGAAGACACACTCCTCCATTTTTACATTTGGGATCACAGTTGGCTGCAAAAACATTCACCACAGTTTTTTTAATAGGCTTCAAAGTTTTGACCTTCTTTCTCAGAAGTCTTCATCACTTTAAATTAATTTGCAACAAAATAAGTTAGTCATAAACTGGGTCAATAAATAAAGTGGCACATTAAACCATTTATTCAGAGCTGAGCTTGGCACGAGGTCTTCCCTGAGCCATCATCAGAATTTGAAATTACGCGCAGAATTAAGGTTTGTCACGTCACCATACTGGCAGGTCTCTCCTTCGTAGCCCCGGGAGCAGAAGCATGTGTTGTTGCGGATGCAGACTCCGGCGTGTTCGCACGGCGGCTCGCACTTCGCTTTCAGGTCAAAGACGAAGCCGACCGCGACGCCCCGGGGCGCGTCCGAGCCTCCGGAGCACACACCGGCGAGAGACATCAAAGAGGCAAACAGGAGAGGCGCAAAGCCCATGGCCGGATGTGCTTTGTTGCTCAAATGAAGAGTGAAAAGAAGCGAAGCGGTGGACGGATGGAGGAGGAGAAAGTCTCCTGAAGAAACAGGGAAAACTTCTCGGCCAGGATGGTGGTGGTGAGGCGGAGCAGGGAGAGCGCCTTGGGGTGGGGGCTGGGGCTGATTTTCAAGGCTTTGGATCAAACCTATGCAGTCCATATTTGCATGAAACATATTGGTTAGACCACCGCGCAGATTACGCAGTGGGGTTACATGAAGTAAAAGTTTGACTCTGCCACAACAGATTCATAATGATGAGGTTTCCCAATAGTTTGTCTGGAGTTATGACAGAGATGCTCAAGATACTAATTAAATTAGGCCCTAAAACATGTGGATAGCACAGCTTCACCATGCTGCTCTATAGTAAAATACTCCAAAGAAGGATTTAAGAGTAATCTGATTGTATTTGCAGTCTGTTCGTTGTGCAATAATCTATCCAAGGAATGCTACATGTGGTAACATAAAAAGTATTTTTATTGTTGCTTAGACTAAAGCGGTTGTGCTTCATATGTAGTTTATATGTAGCACCCACAAAGAGAGTAATATAACTGCTCCAGAATGCCTGGTCTAAGATTGTGGAATAAATAAATAAATAAAAATCTGTAGTGTAGTTTGTTTTGCTTTTTTGCTAACCATAAAATAAAAATGTTTCAACAAATGTAAGAGCTCACCTGTATGAACTGTATGAAACACTGCTACCTGCTGTTTAATCCTCACTGATCCTGTGTTACATGTTTGGGACAGTCTACTGTGGCTGGATGAAATAAATGGACAAGATTCTGGTACATATGCACATTTGTTGAGTAACTATACTCACTATACTTGGTATCTTCCAGTACAACATTTGCTCCACAAAGTGAGACACAAAAGATGCACAACTGATTTTGAGGGTCTTCAGTTGACCTAATATATCTACACACATACAGGAAGCTCACTTTACCCAAATATTTAACTTTATTAAAGTTACATATAACTAGTGGTATTTAAACAACATCTTACTCACTCATGTTATAACAGCAAGGACTGATTTCTAAGGCACATAATTCATAATTTGTGCAAAGTATTATTTTTCATGGCTACACATCTAAGGTTTTATTTTGGTTTAAAGAAACTGCTGTGAACTATGCAACAAAAGAAAAGTGCAGTATTTTATACTGAGTACATATTTCACAGCGATGTTGACAAACTATATCTAAAAGACTGTAGAATCACTTTAAATGTCTATGATTATATTTGTCAGAAAGACAGAGTTTGGGATGTTAGTCTATGTAGAGCACATATGGAAAAACCATTTCCTCTTGTTTGGTGAAAAGAAACCCTGGGCCTGTGTGAAGGACGGGGTGAGGGGGAAGTTCTGTTGTAATGACAATAACACAACCAATCAGTAGCGGATGTGGTTCTTCTCTCTGCTCCCTTAAAGCTGTTCAGAGGCAAAGTAGCTTTCTGTTTGATTCTCTGCGTTTTGCATTTTTCAGTAAAAGTGAACAGTGTTTCTTTATTCTGAGTTCTGTGAGCTCAGAATAAACAGTTGTAGCTGTTTGCATAATACTTGGACTACTCCAAGTACAAGATTTAAATTTCCATAAACGGTATGGAGTCGCTCTGCTGCTTATTCACGGAAAGCTTCTCTGGACAAGCAGTCAGAGTCTTTCCTTGAAGTCACTACATCAGGCTTGTCGTGCATGACAGAGTCCAGCTGGAAGAGAGACAACTGGACTTTATGAAGACCTTAGCATAGTTCTTCCCAAACAATCTGAACTGAAGTAGCTCACAACAAATGCAGTAATGTAGATTTAGTTGGCACAACACACAAATATTCCAAACATCTAAAAATCAAGAATCAGCATTATACTAAGCAGTGTCGGGACAGCGAGTCTGACCTTTTAACTTGATTTAAATGGGTTTCCTCTGTGGCCAGTTTAGAAGTGTGAGTTTCACTCATATCTGGGTGGATTTCTTTGGTAATAAGATTTTCATTGAAACTGGTGATAATGTGTTGAGTCACTTTAAATCAATATAGTCCTGTAGGGAGAAAATAATAGGTTGTCGCTTATTTGCAGAGTGATATCTTCATGTGGTTTATTTGATAATGCACTATATTCAACCTGCTAATCAGCAGTTAGTCCGTGTAACCACCAAAAAAGATAAAGAATAACAACAAAGATGAATGCCATCGTGTTAAAAAAAAAGGGGAAATCACTCATTTAGTAATAAAGTACCTCCAGAAGCAAATATAAGAGTACAGTGCTGCCCCACTAACAGTCTACTGGCAATAACTAAAGTACAATCAGTAAACAAAATACATTAGCGATGTGGGTGAGAGGGTTTTTTCTCTGTTGTATGTATTCCAGTGCAGCTCCGGTCTAGACCTGTGACCTGGATCCCGGAGTGGAAGTGAGCTGGTGGTTTAATGACTGCAACAGATGTGAACATACCAGGATACACAAGGGGCCTGTGCCTCTCGCTTTAGGAAACAAACAGATGGATAACACCAGAAAGAAGAGAACAAAATTAGGTTATTTGAAAAGAGTAATAAATATTACTATTATCATTAATAAATAGCTTAAACACACACAGCTTCACAACCACATCCTCAATTCTAATTTATTAAGAGCATAAATGGAAGTTAGCAGATGTTGCTTTATATGTGTGCTTCAGCTCTGTGGATAGTTGCTGGAGTGAATAGGTTCGTGACAGGATCCCAACAACATTAATGAGTGTGTTTGTGTGGGACACCGTACTAATGCTAAGAGGCAGATAAACAGATTTGGCATGAGGAATATGAAGGACACTTATGCTAAAGTTTGTCACTGCTCTTCTGCAATATTACTGCAAATTTGCAGAAATCTTATTTCCAAATTTCATCTCTGAGTTTCAGTAGGAATGCACAGATAACGACAAAGAGAAAACGTTATTTGGAGACGTGTTCGTGAACTAGATCAGAATATGGGACACTATTTCATTTTGTGAGAAGAAAGAACAAGTTCCAGATAAAAGTACAGTATCTGGTCACCCTACAATAGCTGCAGCCCCCTGGTGGGTTGTGAGGATACTGCAGGTGTAGTTCTGTTGGTGTAATACAATGAAATCCTGTTATTCTCAATAAAAGGAAGATGTTTATGTCGGGTACATTTTCCAGACAAAATCATTTATGGACAACTAATTTATAATCAGATGAAATTTGTTTTTCGCACATTTGGAAGAAACCTGCAAATTTTATCTCCTATTCACTGCTCAAACATCTGCATCAAGTCCACTGAAATCTTTCACCACAATAGAAAACATGAAGACATGAAGACCTACTTTTTCTTGTCTTTTAAACGTCCAGTTTCAAGTATTAATTTGCAGTAATAACAATGGAGTAATGAAAAGGTAAGAATTTTGGGACCTTCATACTTCAGCAGAGTGAGACATTTGGCACCGCTCGGTGTGTACACAGTGTATTACAAGCACACCAAGAAAACACAAGAAACGCTCAAAATGAATTGATTTTATTGTCACCGGCATGCATGAAAAACACAAAACCACTGTTTAGATGTTAGAAAATAGCTGGGAAACTTTCACATTTATGGAATATTACGAACAGCTCGATTTCGGTTTACTTTCTTCAAAATGACGTGTAGAAATGTGGAGGTTTTGCAGCGATTTAAACTGTGAAACTTTGCATGTTGATTTAAGAAATTATATTTATGTGATCAAAACAGCAAATTACACCATGGCCGACAAAAATAGGATTAATTTAAATTTTTAAAAAAAGGTGACATTTGTATGAATAAGCCTATGACATAAAAATATTATTATAAGTTATTTTCTTACCAAGTGAAAAATGTATTTTATTTTTCAGTAAAATATGCTCATTAAGGTCTTCAGAGTAGTCACGCGTAGCTTTTAACCTGATGATTAACAGAGTTACACACACACACCGCACAAAAACTAAAAGTTTAGAATAAATCAGTGATGTCATGAGTCTGCTGTACTGCTCTACACACTAACAAAATTCATGAAACGAAAAGAGAGAGGCTGTTTGTAGAAAGGAGTCAAATAAGAGCAGAAAGGAATGATTAGGAACACCTCAGTAGTTTTACTTTCAAAAGTCATTTCTCTCTCACACGTTTTAGAAACGATTTCATAAAGTGGTGTAGAATGAGAGGGGCTGTGAGCAGCTTTCTATTTAAGCAATATTCACATTACCTTCTCTTCAAAAGGCCCAGCTAAAGTGCATCGTAAGTAAAGCTATTGCTTCCAGTATTTCAAATACAGAGGAGGAGTGATACTGAATATTGAATGATGTGCTCTGTTTTTACCAGCCCGGAAAAACTACAAACCTCTCGTCTATGGGCCATGAGGAGGATTTACAGGTCTGGTTCACGAGGGATAAACCATCGTTTGGTGGTTTTATTGCAAAACGTCTATTCTAAACATCATGTTTGTCCTCTAAACAGAATAAACTATTCAGGACTTAAAAACTGATGAGCCACTACGACTAAATTAAAAGCAAAGATGTTTTGTATGGAGGTCAACAGCAGTATCTGATGCCTAAGCTCTTTTGCTTCCCTTATTGGTAGACCTGCACATGCCCGTGCAACGAGGTGGTGTTCCCCCCACAGTCCACATACTGGTACATCTCCTGGGAGACCTGCTCCGTGTGGCCGAAGTAAGACGTTGTCACCATCACCCTGAAAAGCAAACAAGAGTCAAACATGATCAAAGTGCAAGAGATCAGTGGAAATAGTTGTGCAGCAGACTGACTCACTGCTATCATTATTTGTTGTTGAAAGTACAGTAGCTCAGAACTTACACCAGTGCATTTCCTCCATCTATAGATCTATCACACCTAGACTCAACATCTTGTTCTGGCCTAAGCTCTAAATAAATTCTGTGCAGCGTTCTTGTGAATTGAAGTGGAATAACCCACTATGTTATTCTATGTGGCATATCAAGTCTTCTCTGCACAGAGCGGTTTTTCATAGTTATTCGAAAATTAAAGAAAGGGGAAACGTTATCATATGAAGCGTCCATGAAGAGCTTACAATTTATGATTAAAAGTTAACTATCACAGCCATGTACCTATAAACAGCTAAAAAGATTAAATATCTTGAAAATAGTAACAAATCTGATCAATCTGGATTCAGCACAGTAAAAATCAATAAGAAACAACACATTTTATCTTCAAAACAATCAACTTCTGAAGTTGACTTTTTGACTGCCGGGTTTGGACAGCTTATTGTTCTGATCCTCACAAACAAAATTCAACACAAACAGGCTTTCTTTATGCTAGCAGTCCTAACAAAACCCAAAACCTCAGCTGGAGAAAACCGTTATCACAGTTAAGAACAGGGTTTTGCAGGGTTGCATTTACTACAACATGCATCAGCAGCAGGAGATCTGAGATGGCATGGAGCAAAGTGTCAGCAGTTAGCTACACCAACAGCTTTTCAGGTGAGTCATGCTGAAAAGCTCAGATAACACCCCGGCCCTGTTGACTTCTCTTTCTTGCTCTTATTACAGTCATAAACTGGTTGGGAGGCTTTCATTGTACATATAACATCACAAAATCAACTCCTAGGAATATGACTTCATATTCCTAGGAAGTTTCCTAGGTAGTTGCTGCCAAGGTGTCAAAAATCTTGCAAATAAAGCTGATAAGAGCCCTGCTTCTTCTGCACATTTAGACTGTAGTCTCATGGATTTTAAAATTTCCTAGGGGTAAAACTTAAATTTAAATGAGTCCATCTGAAAATCTGGCATTGCCTTACAAGCTTTATAAATTTTTTTATTGATATTACCTCATTGGCCTGACATTTATAATAATGTGATCAATGAGGTTAGCAGCCTCATTGTAAGCTTAGTACGACAAGCTTGAGCTTGTTCGGTTTAGAGGGTTTGGATGTCATCTTGACACACCTTATTTTGAATACTGAAGTGTCCAGTACGAATGTATTAAACTTAAATGATTGATATACACAAAAAATAAAAAGGTTTAACATGAAGAATGCAGCTTTTGAAAGTGACGGGACAAACTGATGTAGAGAGTGGACGTCTGGCTCTGTTGGAGCTGTAGAAACACTCGCAGGTGTACGGGAGTGCTACAGAACGGTGCTGCTTTTAGCTTAAGACATTTCTGCCAGACTGCAGCAAGACGCAAGCTTCTTCTTCCCCTGCATGTCACTGCATGGTATTAATATAATTGCTTATTTGCTTGGTATGCTTGTCTGTTTAAATAGCAGAAGTGTTTATCAAACCAGTTTATAACATGCAGTTGCTTCCTAATTTTTTGAAGAGAGTCAATTACTAG